CTATTATGATAGTTGGAATAATTTTCACGTTATGCGGTTCATAATTATTTTTGTTTTACAATTCCTTTCGACAAATATATATACCGTAAAATCTTCGACTGAACGTTTCACAAACGCTTTTTAAAAGGAAAGATGTAGACGCAAGTGCTACAGAAACGATACGGAAGTGCTACGGAAACGCTACGCAAGTGGTACGGAAATGCTACGGAAACGCTACGCAAGTGGTACGGAAATGCTACGCAAGTGATACGCAAGTGCTAGGCAAACGGTACGGAAATGCTACGCGAACGGTACGCTGAAAGTGGAACAGCGAACGTGTACGGGTCTGTATGATACATAAAGAACAGATACTGTATAAACAATGTGTTCATAGTTGTTAAATCATATAACGTACATGCATCATGTATTTATTTAAAACCGAAACACTCATTTAAAAAATGTTCAGAATAAATGGTTGATCACAAACATAACAAGGTTGGTTTGAATTTCGTTAAAAGCCACCAGCATGTGTAATATCAAGGCCTGCGGACAGCAGCACTTGGACGAACGTTCAACATTGGGACCAATATGTACGTATTGCCTTGCAGCGCGTTGGAATCAAGAGTTTTTGGAAAAGTCTTAGAAAATAAAAGATCACACATTATGCAATTAGTGCTCCTAGTTTCTTTCAATCGCCTACGTGTTTCAAATTAGAAGGCACAAAAGCAAACCCCAAGGGCATTAACATACTTAATATCATAAAACAAACGCGTTAGCGCAGTGAGGATATACTGAATATCCATTTTCAGTGCACAAGATAACTTTTGAAAATCCATGTTTTCTTCCCTACCTTCGCAATGGGGAGTCTTGAAAACGTCATTAAACACTGCTTTGTTGTATTTGTGCTGGATTCCAGGCAAGGTATGCGGATTGCCTTTTACAATATGCAGTGTTTATCAGTTTTATTTGGTTTTATTTTGTTTAACGTCCTATTAACAGTTGTGAATAACAGCAGATGTATTCTTTTCTGAATATCCGACCTACAGGTAGTGCTTTCTCCCGATTTTATTTAAGTACGTACTCACAATAACTTTGATATAGACGGCAACAGGTAGTTCGCGCGAGTGTGACGTTCCCCAGCACCTTAATGTAATTGGAAGCGCCTAGAAATTGTCATATTTATACCTACGTTTTACTCAAGGTTTATACACACTGATAAGCAGTAAAGAAGACAAATACATACATACATTTGGATTAACTTCCTATTAATAGCCTTAGTCATTTAGGCATGTTCATTCATGTGTGTAATATATGCATGTGACAGGAGACAGTATGTAACCTTAGCACTTTACAGGACGCTAACCAAACATGATATGCCTTTTTGCAGTGATACCTCGTACGTATTGTGATAGTGTGTATATGCCACGATTAAGCATCGAGGAATCTTAGGGATGATAGCGGTTTCGACCGACATAACCGTTGAGCACTCTAAATCAATCCGATAAAACACAATTACAGATATAACTGTTCATGTATTTATTTACACAAGGTTCTATAGCCGATTACCAATTCGCCTCGTGTCTCAAAAATGGCACTCAATGCTAATGCCGAGCACATGTTGCGTCTGAAACATTCAGTGTCTAGTTTATTGAATTTAGTGTCCTATTAATAGCATAGGTCAATTAAGGACATGCCGTCATGAGTGTAACGTATACCCGTGAGCTGGAGGCGTAATTTTGCCTTCTAGCTACATGTATAGTGAAAAACTGATGCCGAACTCAACACCGAGCACAGCATTACACCCGGTCATATTATAGCGACAACGATAAAAGAAGAACATACAATTCCGCCTAAAGCACACACTACACCCACATGTACATAGCCCCTAGCAGTAAATAAATCGTTAAAACCTAAAAATCCTAAAAATAAAATAAAAAATCTTACCAATTAATTAATTATCTAGGTCAAGCAGAACACTCGCTTCCAGTTTTAGTGATTGTTTGTTTTTGTCTGGGGATAGAACCCATAACATTTCGTTCTCAGGCGAACAATCAGCTCATGGTCAAAAAACGAGCTACTTGCATAAACAGGAAATTGACGTACCGCAGGGAAACACTTTTAAGTAGCACATATCAAAACTTGGCTCCATCAGTAGAGGGGTATTTATACGTGGGTGGCGTTTCTACTTGCTATCGGTAAAAACAACAAAACCGATGAAACACAATTGCAGCATTGCTTAAAACTTCAAATATGGGCTGATTAAAATGATTAAAATGATTTAATTATTTTCGAACCAAAAATGGTGTGTTTGAAATTTTGTAAAATCGATGTCGATCCTAATCATATCCTCGATCGTATACTGAAAATTAACAAACCAAGTTCCCATGCCTTATTGAGAATTAAAGCCCCTTCTTCATATATCTTATGGCAAAATGCATGAAGGCACTTAACGTTCTAAAGGTGCAGTATTGCCTGAGGAGCTGGTAGGATAATATTGCTAAGAATTTATAGAGCACTTGTAAGATCTTAAATGGCATATGGATCCATTGTTCATGGATTTGCAACAGAATAAGATATTTTGTTATTAGTACCGTACATTACAAGGTCTGCGACTTGCACTTGAAGCTGTCAACACCACACAAAACGTGGAACTCCACGTAAAAGTAAACAAACCGCCATAGAAACATTCACTTCACTGCAGTATGCACTTTGATTAAACACAAATCCATCGAATCAAGCTTATGCACTCGTATTCAATCTAAATTACAACATTCGACCAAGACTTATCGTAACTTTGGTGTTCATATTGCATCCCTTTTGGCAAATCCTCAAATTGATATCGACACAATCCAATGTTTTTCAACAAGTGGTGGTCATCATGACCTTTGTTTTAAAACTTAGCTTAATATTTCCTTTCACGAATTCTACAATCTAATAATGACTGCGTAACCCTTGAATCATCGTTTTGAAGATACATTTAAAGTAAAGTTGTCTTTTAATAATTATATACTGATGGTTCAAAAGATGCTTGTAGTGTCACCTTAAACATTATTGCAAAAAATGCCGGCTACCAATTAATGCATCAATGTTCTGTACAGAACCCCATGATATATGCTAACCTTGATTACAATTATTATTATATTTCGTAACAGCCAGACAATACAGAAGAGGTTATTAGATTCATTAAATAGTTGAAGACATTATAAAGGAAGTGGCTTTGGTAGTTGATGGGTTGTTTTTGGCAAAGACCATATGTTTCAGGTAAGAAATGTAGAGGTATTTACTTTTTGTAAAACGATATTTATGACTTTTTTATATTTCTATATAAATAATTAGCTTGTGTTGTATAACCCCATAAGGACCCTGGCTCTCACCATTGTGCCATCTTCATCTGATCTATGGAAAATTCATCTTTTCTCCTCTTTTTTTCTGGTGAATTGTGTCATGTAAACAATAAGTACATGTATAGCTGATTAAAAGCTTTGATCAAAACTTAATACATGTACTGCTGTGTATGACATTACTTCTTCAAAGTGAGGTTGTGGATTGGGCTATTCTATTTTCTTGCACGATACCTAATGTGTTACAAAAAGAACCTACGTTCGAAATCTGATGAAGATAAAGTGCCTCTTGGGAATTAGTTAATACAAACTGAAAATGTCGAAATCCGAGATGACTACCTGGGGGCCATTTTGTTTTCGGATCGGTCTCAAAATGAAAAAAAAAAGTACAACGACCGAATATGAAGCGCCTTTTTGTGAAATTTGAGAGGATTTCTCCAGTACTTTCTAAAAAATAACGTTTTTCCAAAATTCAGCTCTTACAGCCTACAGGCAATCTTGGTTTTAAGATCGGTCCGATGATTAAATATAAACAATGTACACTATGAGACCATGTGTAACATTCATGCGGAACTTGAGATGAATAATCCGATCAGTCCCAAAATTCAAATACAGCGCTAGGAAGCATGGATAATCTACATGCGAAAATGTAGAACGATCCTTTCTACTTTTTTTAATATAAGAGCTTACAAGTTTTAACCCTCAAAACAACAACACTGCAGCCTATCGACCATCTCGGTTTTCCAATCAGTCAAAACAGTTCTACAAATGTACAGCGATAGGGACCATGCGAAACCTACTTATTATTAAGTAAAAATCCTTTCAGTATTTACCGTGAAATGGAGCTAACTTTTAATTTACCTACCAAAATTTAAGACGGGAGCTTTCCGGCCATTCGTGGTTTTCATATCAGTCCCCAAATTTATAAGCATAACAACAGACCACTTAAACCTAACATTGTAGATAGATTGTTACAGTTCTTTACGAGAAGTAGCGTTGACAAGAACTGCTTGATGATGGTGGGCTTGATATCCAATGAACTATATATAGCTATATAAAGCGCAGAATGTTTTTGAATAATTATTCAAGGACATACAAGAATTTTGACGATATTGTAGAAAATAACGTCTATAAAAACACTTAAAATATCAAAATTAGCGTATGACTTATTTCATCCTTTTAACGGTGTTTAATATAAGTATTTTAGGGTTCTCTGATACGCTTGTACGTTTGACACGGAACAAACTTACAAACAGCTTATATAAGACTCATGATCAGCATCACATCATAGAAATTATATATGTTTCGATATGCGATTGTGAAAAACAATCATTACCACCTGACATAAATGGCAAGTATATTATTCTGGTAATGATTCCCTGCTAAAGACTGGCAGGCTTTCGCACAGCTAGATAGATTCCTGGGCAATTTATGATTGGCATCATCAGACAAAATCAATACTTTAACGTGATGTTTTCTTGCTTTCCTATCCATCTTAATTATTTCGATCCTGTTGACCCTATTGCATACTGAATAGTATTCGTTCTCTAATACAATACACTATCTTGTCTCATAAAAACCATAATTCGATTGTTATATAATACATACGCACAAATATTCAAAATAATTATAAATATTATTTAATTCCGAGATTTTAGGTATTGTATGATTCAAACTTACCAGTTCAAGGCATCGTGAAGTGCATTGAGCATCCAAGAGGGCGAGCGTATATTCCGAATCATTATCCTGACATTGAACAACAACGATATATCCTAGAACGATCAAAATATATATTCCAAGCATCACGGCTGAACACATGTTACCGCTGTTATCAAGTGATCTGCTTTAGACAGGACAGGACCTACGTATGTGCGGAGAGGCGTCAATACGTCAACGGCACTGGCTTGGCGCAAAATAACAACTCGGCTTCTGAAAGAGACAAATTATATATATCAGATTTATCATACACATAAACATATTACTTGATATTTGTTAACTTTTTTTCTGGGTTGTAAATACCATACTAACCACTAAGGTAATGTAAACACGGGTGCCTAGCTATATAAACTGTAGGCAGACCCCACAGTAAACACAGAGTAGAGAAGTGAAAAAAAAGCTAATGTGTTGCAATAGGGGTGACAGATACAACTTTGTGTCTTCAATGTTCCCTTTTGATAAAACACATGCAAATCTGCCGTAATCCACTGCATGTTATTGTTTGAGACAATTTACATTTGTTGGATACGAACATATTTTTGTGTTTTGGATTATACGCCATCGCAACAGCCAGTGTCATATTAGGACTAATGCCTATTGAGATACCGCCTATAAGTGGAAATCGACAGAAACGAAATAATACAGGAAGAAAGGGAACGAGAAAGATCGTAAGAGTTAAAATGGGGGCAACATATCAAGTTTGGTCTAACTCATGTTCACTTCCTAGTTGACACGAAAGAGAAAACTTGATTCTGTAGGGGGCCTCACGCGTACGTTTGACACTTTTTACAGCCGTTCTTTTCTTTCCCTGAGCATGCACAAGCTACAATTGTATACCCAAACCGGTAATTGCACCTTTAATTGTTGGTAATAGTTACCTCAATGTTTGTAATACAATGTTACCGAATTTGCTGATTGCGTTCTGTTGCTAAAAGTTTCAATTAGTAAATCAGTATCAATAAAACAACATAAAACCAAAAGGTAACTAACAAAATTCGAAAGAAAAGTCAATAAAAGTAGGGCAAAATATAAACCAAAAAACTGTACATGGATACCATTAATTAGGTACAATTAGATGAGATCAGGCGTTCCCGAAGGGTACGCGTATTTTGCTTTATCGAACACACCCGCCATGTAAATCAAAACTATTTAATGACACGTCGTCACATCGAGAACTCTGGTTTTGACAAAAAAAGTCACAAGGCACACTTATCAGCTTTATAAATAACATCGACCTTCATTTTACACAAGAAATATCATATTCTCCAATGAGCTCATGGTGGCGACCATACAACTTGTCTTTAGTCATCAATCTGCATGCAGATTTTATAGTGCTATCTCACTGAAATATCATGCAGATTTTATAGTGCTATCTCACTGAAATACCATGCAGATGCATCTAGCACAGCATTGTGGATAGCCTAAACAGGACTATGTGTTTTGTTATGATCAGTGTCTTCTGTATTTTATCTACAGCATTCATCATGTAAATACAGGTCAACGTTATATGATTTTCTCAATACGAGAACCTGAATAGTATAAACCAAACAGCAAGAATACTTAAGATGTTTTTTCAACGTTCCAGCGTACATATAATGTAAATTTTAGTAGTTAAGGGTCAAGCAACATTGAAATAAAAAGCGTTCACAAAAAATAAAGATATCGTTTCTCTTTTAATATTTGTTTCATCAAACGTATGCACGGAAATCTTCCTTTGCTAATATGTTTCCATACTTTTATCATTTCTGTGTTTGTTAACGGTTAAACTGACACTTCGAAAGAAATATTAAAATACATGTCAATCGAATATGAAATGAGGGGAAAAAAGTATCAAGGCATGAAACAAATAATGGCGATAACGGTTTTTGAACTATGGCCAAGACAATGAAAAGAAAAGTGTAAAGATAGGTTGGGTTTGTCAATGCAACAACCTTTGTAGTCTGTACAAAACATTCTCAACGAGTTGGCTACACAGAATCGATACCGTTCATACAACGGAATGCGGTAGGACCGAGCTGGTTCTTTCATAAAGAGAAGAACCTTGATACATCGATATCTTCTAATACATTGACAATATCATCCCTTTGCTTTATTGTGCTAAATGTTTTGTTTTTTTCGTTAAAATAAATTTGTGTTTAATGTCAGTGTTGTCATATTGACATCATTAAAATAAAGTTCAACACTTTGCAAAACCTTGAAACTGATTGTTTAAGTATGAGCGTATACATCATATTTATGAATAAAACGACAAGACATTTAAAAAATGACATCAAACCCATATATTCGACTATATGAAATGGACAGATAGATTTCAAAGAACATGCATATGTTTGATAGGTTATTTAGGGCCCTATATAGGAGATACAGGTGCCCTATAGTAATCCCTGTGTCTGTCTATCTCGGAAGCTGAACGACAAATAGTTCTTAATTTTGACATTTTAATTCACTGTGATATGTAAATATACAACATGTTTTAGAGTTTCTTTTTGCACCAGACAGCCATCTTAGTTTCCAACAGTTTCCGTCAGCTATCGCTCTTTCAAAAGAAGTACTAGGCATTTTTTCTCTTTCAAATTGCGACTATCGGTTACCGTTTTTACACACAGGCACTGCGCTAGTAAACAGGTTAAACAATAAATTCACCTCGAAAGAACCATGTAAAGCACAACAGTATGAAGCTTGGATCAAAAGTTACCAAGAGGTACATTTATTGTTTGCACGAATAATTTCAAAAGATAAGACAAAAGAAGAGAAAATATCAAGTTGATATTAATGTTATGAAGATGGTGTGATGTTGGTATGATGGCGGGATCACTGTAAAATGGGTTATGCAAATCAAGTATTGATATCAAGGAGTTTTTGTATCAATTGATTTTGACTTATTTTATCAACCTACTTGCTTTGTAAATCCCTGATTGATGATGCATCTTTTCATTTATTGAATTTCGCCATGCACACTTCAAACAAAGGTATGTCTATAATGTTTGAAGCTGGTAATAAAATCATTTATTACATTTTTGCCAGTGAAATATCGGATTCTTTCAACTTGATAAAACTGATATCTTTCACACTGTGACAAATATCAAAAGTGAGTGAAAATATCACTTTTTGGTAATGACCAATAATAACGGTATCTTCTATTCGCTGCATTCAAGGGTAACGATTTTTTTGTTCAGATTCAAATGAAGCGACGGTAGAATAAGTGGTTGTTATGGTAAATGTTTGATACACACACTTAAGTATTTACATGAATATACAATAAATAACATTTTCATAAGCAATCACACAAGATAAAAGCAGAAAACGTCGGAATTGCATTGAGTATCCCATTCAAAATGGCGCACAGCCTTGTTGTTAAGCGTGACGTCATTATGATATGGCGCTAATTAATACGCTTCTGATTTTCGCCCTTTTTTAATGCATGACATTTTTCATGTTTTATGCTTTTAAAATGTAATAAATAGAAAATGTAATGGTGTCTTAAGTAATCACAAAAATATTTCACTCGTGTGGCTAATATTTTGATATGTTTCACTCGTGCTGCGCACTCGTGAAAAATATAAAAATATTAACCACACTCGTGAAATATATATGTTTTTACTGAAGACACCATTAAATATCCTCTATAAATCCAATAAAGCTAAACTAAGCGATTGACAATATACATGTGAATATTGATTGATTTTGATTTGTTGTTAGACACGATATTTATTTTGACCCTATACAGATTCGAAGAAAGAACAGGGTTGCTGCATGCAGTAACAAGCGACTAATGTGTGGCTCTAGAGGAATCGGTTTGATTCCGTATCTTCTGCCATGAGGGGATGTAACAGGCAACAATCGAACTACTGCCCCAATTGTAATATTTGGAATCTTTATTTGTCTTATCCCGCTACCCAACTCTTTCTTTTCAGCGGTGCCTGAGCACTAAGCCACGACCTTACATCTGTTGCAGGGGCTTTAAACCTCGGGCAAACAAACAACTGAAACATTGATGTTTATTTAATTGCCAACTAAATAAGCCCGTGGTTGCGTAAGTCCAATCATTCATTAATGAAACTTTATTTGATTGTGGGTTGAGGGGTTTAATAACTCCACACCAAAAACATGAAAACAACTACAACCAAGTAAGGAGCAGTACATCGCTTAGGTATTTGAAGGACGCAGCCCTGTGTTTGTGTGCTGGAGGAGATAATATATGTGTAAAAAGCACACAGCATTTTGAAGGGTTCAGTGTCCAAGATAGTTTACGGACGTGCCTCCATATGTTTAATTGCATGCCTTATCTTTGTCAATGAGTAATCAGTGTGCTCACAAGAGATATTTCTTTTATACATCTCTGTAAATAGATTGTTTTGGGTCGTGTAAGATGTTTGTTGTTACAATACAGGTATTTGCTTAGCATATACATTTGTATTCTATATAGTCTTGAAGATACACCTTACTTTTGCTGTTTATTCTCCAACTTCTTATGATGTTCACCTTACTCCAGGTTCTGATGATCGTCACAATCGATTCTACATTTTCTACTGAAATATTTGCATTCTGCGAAATAAGTTGTCCTACCTATACTAGAACATGTAGTGGCAAACTGCGATGATGCCTCTATTACAAATAGTTATCCTAATATTTCAATAGCAGATGATGACATATTTCACATGACATAGTTTGAGGTCCTCATGCACTTGTCCTTGAACTGACTTAAAATCCAAGGTAGGTGAAGTGATATGAGAAGAGACCGAAATTCAACACAAGAAATATTTGTATGCAGTTTAAAGATCTCCAGTCTGTACCTTATCATTATGTAAGGTGTTTTTCGACTTTCTGTGGAATGAGACACAATATGTTGCTATAAATGTAGACGGCGATATAAATGTTGATGTCTGTATGTGGATGCCGTTTACCAAATTGCGCATCACTATTTCTTGCAGAAGACCATGCTATCTTGGCTTTAATGCCGAACGTTTGTCAAGGTGGGAGAGTTAAAAGGTTTTGTCCCCAGGCCGAGAAAGGGTTCTGTCCCTTGGTCGAGACAAGCATAAATGTACCAAAGTCTTTAGAAAAATATAAGTTGTTATTATCTGCTTTACGTTCAGCATTAAGATTGATGCCAGCAACTGGTTCACCCGTTGTTGTTATAATAAGACCGACTGGAATGCTTTACACGGTGCCTTCGGCGTGGTATTTCAGTGATATAGCACTATAAGGTCGGC